TTCAAATTTAATAGATTACAGTATAACCAGCTACCACTGAATACTTTCCAGTACAGAGATTCCTATGTTTTAGAGAATCATAATCTCTTAATACATTTTTAATATCTTTAAAAATTAAAAAAATCATAAGATATTTTTATTTAACACGTTCAAATTTAATAGATTACAGTATAACCAGCTACCACTGAATACTTTCCAGTACAGAGAAGCCCATATATTAGAGAAATCAATTCTCTGTATTTACTTTTATTAAAAAGAGGTTTTTGGTAGTTAGAACAAACGTACAGTTAAGTATTTAGAAATATTTGCTGTATACTTTGTTCATTAATTATGTTGTCACGGTCTATACCTATAGAATGTTCTAGGGTAACAGTTACAAGTGTTGACTATAACTAATACTTAAATGGACTGAATAATTGAATCTACATGGAAAGGGGAATTTCAAATATCTAGCAAATCTAATAACATCTGCTGAAAGACCTTAATTTTTTAAATTAAACATAGCTTTAATTTTTATCTGTTGTGTACAACACAAATTAGGCTCTGTACTTTATTATCCATTATTCATAACAAATTGCCCCAAAACTCTGGTTTTAAAACAAGAAAAAAAAAAAAAACTTAATTCATGCATATTTTTATCATTTCACAATCTTTTAAAAAATTATAACAAGAGCTGGAATTTAAATTTGTTGCAGGCCTTCAGATTTCCAGAACAGCATGGGATTAATTAAAGCCTCATCATATTTATCTTATTTCACCTCTCAGTAATATAATCGCTGACAAAACTGTACAAGAAATGCATACTTTTCAAAGAAAATATGTGGCCCAAGGTCCAAGACATTCTTCTTTTTGGTTCCCAAATGAAGTCATCAGTTTAACCAAGAATCTGTTTTGTTTGTTTGTTTGTTTGTTTGTTTTGTTTTGTTTAACTGTGCAAAGCCCTGCTGGCTGCCCCAGCTACTCACCCAAGTACACCAGACAACAGGCATCATACCTGCCACCTCAAGGTATGTCCACATTACTGCTTAGAAGTGGCTGGTGGGGCCTGCCAGGGCACACCCTGTGGCCCTCCCAGGAGGCTGATTCCAGCACTGAGATGCTCTTCAAGACTGAAGTCCTACAGGCAAATGCTCCCAGCACCAGGATAGGTTTACTTCCCCATTTGCTTCCCTCTTACCAGTAGCAAGCCTGCAACTTCTGCATTTGGCAAAAGGATTTGTGATAGAAACCCAGACTCTGCATCAAATGGTCACATGCTCCTGTGGAATATTTCTACCAAACCAAAGACACAAAACCAGGAAACACTGCTACACAATCTTGTTAGGTGGAAGAATTTTCAGGAATCCTGGGGGGACTGGCTTTCTTGAGTCCCTTTTAAGGACTATATACTAATGGATGGTATAAGCTGCAGTTATTAAAAACACAAGTACTGGGGCTGGTGAGATGGCTCAGTGGTCTAAAGCACTACTACTCAGAACAAGCTCAGAACAAGCTCAGCAAAGCACAGGGACCACAGTTCAATCTCCCAGCACCACATGCCAGCCAGCCGCGCCCCCTGGTGGGCTGAGCTGGCCACACACACACACACACACACACACACACACACACACTAAATGTTAAAAAATAAATAAATAAAAATTAAAAAAAAAAAACACAAGTACTACCTTCATGTCTTAGCCCAGCCTTTTCAAATAAACACTATGAAGTCATACCTAAAGGTTGATAATAGAGCTAGCTGGGGCAATCACAGCATCTACAGAAGAACTAATGGCTCAAACATCTGGGCACAAGTATATAAACAATTCTTGTCAAAGATGATACAAATCCATGAAACTTAAATGGGCACTCAATGAGGCTTTGCTTGAGTTGTTTTGAATCTGTAGGACAGGTTAGTGACTCTCCTAGCCTGAGCAGAAGCTATGTTCTTTCCACAGCAGTGCATGACACAAATTAGAGGAGCCTTCACAGCAGCTGGGGTAGAGCCGCCAGCATCAAAAGCTATTTGGTTCCACTTTGTGGATTTCAGAAGACATCACAATCCCCACGCGTATTGCAGGTCACTTAACCAGGCAGTCTGCTCTGTCAAAGAACTTATTCCAAGTCAAAGCAAAAATGGCCTCAATAAGAAACACAGAAAAAAAAGCATTACTCCAGTAAACACTGCTAAGAATCTGAATGTCTGTCTTCTTTTGGTCACGTATTTTAGAGTATCTTTACTATAGCAGCACACCCTATATATTGTAAACCCTCCAACATCATTCACTCCACAGTTATGTTATTACAGTCATGTGCCAAATAATAAAGAGGTTTTTGTCAATGATGATGGTCCAGTTGTATTATAATGCAGCTGAAAAATTCTTATCACCTCATTACACTGTAGCTGTCCCAGTATTGTAGCACAGTGCGTTACTCACATTGTGGAGAATGCCGCCTGTCACACAAAACTGTAGCCCACACAGTTACATCAGTGTATAATGACAACAAATGACAATGTTCCTGGTTTATGTATTTATTATTCTATACTTTTAATATTAGTTTAGTGTACTCTTACTAATAATAAAAGGTTTACTGCCAAACAGTATGCCGTTACATCAGCAGCAGTCTCAAACATCCGTTTCCCACATCACTCCACTACATCACTTTCCCTCATGCTGATTTCATCTCCTGTGGTTTTGTCTGTCATAGTCCTAAAAGCAACATTCTATCTCTCTCTCTCTCTCTCTCTCTCTCTCTCTCTCTCTCTCTCTCACACACACACACACACACACACACACACACATCATATAGCCCAGGTGTGCAGTAGCCTATCCATCCTAGGTTCATGTGAGCAGGCAAAACCCCATCATTAAGAAACACATGACTATCCATAATAAATTGGCTACTGTAACAATTGCCTTTGCTATGTAATTTTCTGTTGTGAATGGAGACTTTAATGCACAAGTTGGTCTTTTTCAAGTACACCAGACTAGGTCAAAGGAAAGAAAGTCTTTGTACCCTTAATCATGCACAGGGACAGCATGTGCCTATTAATCTACTCATCACAGAAGGAAGTGGAGGCACAAAAGTGTGTACTATATTGATGAGGGATTACACAGAGAAGTTAGAGAGGTGTGACTGTTTAAAGATACTCAGAAGCAGTACTGGGTTGAAACTGGAAGACCCCAGTGTCTTTTAAAAAAAAAAATTATGTATTTGATACAGGGTCTCACTATGCAGTTTGGACTCATAGTGATCCTCCTGTTTTCAGCCTCCTCAATGCTGGGATTACAGGCCTTCACCGCCATTCTGGTCTCCATGGCAAGCTCAGTGTACCCGGGGTTGGGACTGGCACAGTGTGTGATGCCAGGGATTGAACCCTGGTCCCTGTGCTTGCCTAAGCAGATGCATAGTCTGCTGAGCTATCTCGCCAGCCCTCCCCAGTGTCTTCCTAAAAAATAACAACACTTACTTCTTAGCTGCCAGTGTGTTCAGGCGTGATGATTCAGTTTCTGTCTCTCTGAACATCAGTCCTAGAGTCTGTGTAATTTCAATGCATGCCCTAGGAAGCAAAAAGGAAGAAAAGTGGAAACAGCATGATTTCATTATAAGTTCAGAATTATGTGGAAGAAGTAATCCTTGATAAAATTGCTTTCAGATATTCATATTAAAAAAGTACAGAAAATTCGTTACATCAAATTGTCAATATTGGTTGAGCATGGTGGCGCGTGCTTGCAATCCCAACACTTGGGAGGGTGAGGCAGGAATTTCACCATGAGTTCAAGGCCAGCCTAGACTACAGAGTGAGTTCAAAGCCAGTTTGACCTACATAGTAAGTCCCTGTCTCAAAAGCAAAACAAAATTGTCAGGATTTGTTAAGTCCCCTATCTGTCATCATGTGAATGAATGATAGTATAATAGTATATGCATGAATGATAATGTATGTATTGCACGAATGACCAAGGATAGCTGCCTATCAGAGATTAAGTCATTTTCATAATTTTGGATGTATATTTCCCCAATGTTTTTAGATCATACACTACTTCATTTTAAATTTACTTCAGATAATTTTAATTTTTTACAATAGGTAGTATATAGCTCAAAACATCAAAGGTAAAAAAGAAAATTACACTGAAAAGATTTCTCTTCTCCAGTCAACCATTTTTCCCTTCTAGGAAAGCCTGTATTTCTAGTTTCTTGTGTACCCTTCCATTAAAATTAGAACATTTTAAAAATCTATATGTAGCAAAACTTGCTCCACCATTAATCATTAGTACTGTATATACTCTGCCTGTCATTTATCTTTAACATGTATCTGATTATCTAGTACTTACACCAGCTCATCAGCCCTCTGGCTTTTATTATGCAGCGCGTTCTTATCCTTAGGCTCCGGCAAGTACTCATGAAGTTTGTTCACAAGGAAGTAGAAAAGGTCACTGGTCTGTAAAAGCAAGTGAGGAAGAGGATGGTTAGTTAAGGTGCCAGGTCTTAAAACTATCCTTACTTGAAAGTCTGAAGAAATTATTATTTTTTGATTAGAGAAGGTACTAAACTAATCAAATTGAAAATACAGTTTTATTTACAACCAGGAAAATACTGTCCTGCAGACAGGAACAGGAGCTAAAAGGCAATGTCAAGGGATGGCCAGTATTGAAGATTACTCAGGAGTGAGTACGTAACCTCAAGTCATTCTGTCATCCTGGAAAACAGGACTGCTGCAATTCCTGCCTTTCCAAAAGAACTTGTCTATTATACAGAACACAGTGAGATGATGAATAGGAAAGCCCATATCTAAAAATATTTATTAACACAAAACAAATGGACAGCAATAGCACAGCATGTTAAAAATGGTGAAATCGGTATTAATCCTTCTGGTGATGCAGTGGAAATTCAGATTGCCATGTGTCTAACTGAACACAGACTCAGAGTTTAGGACTAACAACTTGTGTTCTTTCCCAGTCTCATGAGCTAAATGAAGTATGAAAATAAGCACCGGCCCGTAAGGTCAGGCGAGCTGCTCCTCACGAGAAGGATGATGCAATCACTTCACTTTTCTAGTCCTGTACAGCTCACCTTTCCCCCTTTGAGTTTTGATTATTAGTGACAGGTTACACCCTCTTTTCACAAGTCTGTGTGTGCCTTTATTCATTTGTTTAATGTATTTTGGGCAGGGTCTCACTACACAGCTAAGACTCGTACTGATCCTCCTGTTTCAGGCCTTCACAGCGCTGAGATTGTAGGCGTGAGCCACCAGTTGGGTGGCCAGCTCAGCACGCCCAGAAGCGGGGCTGGAGGGGATGTAGTGCCGGGGATTGAACCTCTGGTCCTTGCGCTTGCCTAACCAGGCACTTAGTCCACAGAGCTATCTCGCCGGCCCTGTATGTGCCCTTATTTAGGTGATATATGATGAGAACGGCTGTGGAGAAAGAAGCAAGGGAAGGGTAGAAACACGAGCGTCAGGCGCCATCCAAGCTCTTGGGCTTATTCCATGCCTGATAAACCTGTAGAGCAGCAGCGTAACACACTGCCCCTGAGGCCTGGCTCTCTGCATTCGAATCCCAGAACTGGCACTTGTTTGTCATAAGATCGCTGACAAATTATGTATGCTCTCCGTGACTCATTTCCTCGCCTCTAAAATGGGGCTAATAACATTACCTTGTGGACTTGACGTTAGCACTGAAAACAGCAATATGTATAAAGTTTCAACAGTGCTTAGCACACCATAAGTGCTTTTTTAAAATTAGATTTTATTGGTACATTTGAGATACACGTGATGATCACATCCATCACAGAAAATTTGTACCCATATCTGATATAACTCAGTTTTTTCCCATTCCCCTACTCCCTTCAGCGCCTCCTACCTTCCCCATTTCCAAAGCTTTGTTTCCTTGTTTTTCTTTTTTTTTTTTTAACTTTTCCCTTCTTTCTTTTCCTCTTCTCTCCCTGTTTCCTATCCCACTTGAACATTTTCTTCCTATTTCACAATACTTACACATTTTAGTCCTTATTTGCACTTTCAGTTTCTCACACCAGAGAAGTAATGCCATATTTATTTACATATGTCCAATTTATTTCATTTGAGAGTATAGTCTCAAGGTGCATGCATTTTACTAGAAATGTCTTGATCTTATCCTTCTGTATGGTTGAGTAGTATTCCACTGTATTTTTTTAAAAATCACATCTTCTTTATCTATTCATCAATTGATGGGCACCTGGGTTATATCCAAGATTTGGCTATTACAAACTATAAGCATGGGTATGCGTATGTTGCTGTGGTATTATGCCTTTAATACTTTTGGGAAGATACCCAAGAGAGGAATGGCTGTGTCAAATGAAACATGTAGTCCGAGTTTTGTAGAAATTTCCACAGTGATTTCCACAGTGGTTGCACCAGTCTGCACTCCTATCAACAGTGGAGAAGGGTTCCTTTTCCCCCCACAGCTCCACATCATAAATGCTTGGTTAGTATAATCTCCTACTGGCCTATTGGCTGAGAAATTTCACTTTTAAAAATACCATTCTCCTGCCTCCAACAACAAGAAGGAATCTCAAAAGTATCATGCAAATGAAGCCAGGCGTAGAAGAACACACAGCACAGAATTCCACAGCAGTAGAAGGCTAGGACAGGAAACACTCAACAGGGACAGGAAGCGCATCAACAGTCCAGGAAAGTGATAGATCTGCTTCCCTAAGGGCACAAGACAGCCTTCTGGGGGGATAGAAATGGTCTGTACTTCAACTAGGCTAGCAGCATATGGATGCATATTCTTGTCAAAACTCTTAAAATTCTACCCTTGAATATAGGTACATTTTATCATGCATAATGTATAATTATACCCCAATGGTTTATTAAAAAAAGATATGCAAATAGCCAATAAGCATATGAAAAAAGCCACTACTCAACACCACTGATCATTAGCGAAATGCATTCAAAAATATTCCAATGCTGCTATAAAATAATAAAATTAAGGATCAGTGAAGATGAAGAGAAACTGGAACCCTCTGGTACTTCAAGGAGGAATATAAAATAGTGAGGCCCTGTAAAAAGCAGTATGATTGATCCTCAAAAAATTGAAAATAAAATTATTGTCTGGTTCATTGAAATAAATCAGTAACAATACAAAGACGATACAATTTCACTTATATGAGGTGCTTAGAATTAATTGAGTTAATACAGATAGAAAGTAGAATAGTTCCCAGGGGCTAGAACAGACTATGGGAAAATAGAGAGGTGTCGTGTAATGGGTAGGATATTAAAGTTTTCCAAGACAAAAAAGAGTTGGAGATGAGAGTGCTGGTACTTACACAACAATGTGAATGTACTGATATTACTGAAATATACCATTAAAAATGTTTCAGTATACTTTACTAAGCTTCTTAAACATTGAAGTAAAAACAACCTTGTGAAGAAAAATGAAAGGCTCAGAGAATGAGTAGAGAACTCTTTCATTTATTCATTTACCTTTTTTTGTTTTTTGTTTTGTTTTGGGTACCAGGAACTGAACCCAGGGCCTTGTGCTCTCCAGGCAGGTATTTGTACTGTGAAGTTATCTGCACAGCTCACCTATCTATTCAGTGAACATATAGTTACTGATTGCTAGTCATGTGGCAGGTATTATGCTAGGTAGTGAAATAATATCTTAAGAAAAACAAAAGATATAACTGTCCTTCTACCACCTAGTTTAGTCAACTTATGAAGAAGTGTTCCCACAATTTAAATTCTATTTCCCATAAAAGAGTAAATAGGATTTAAAAGAAAAAACTATTCCCTCAATAAAGTTGATTTTAAAAGGGCTCTAGAGGGGGCATCACATGCAGAAGGCCAATACAAAGTTGGAAAGACATGGCTATAGTTTAGGACTATGAAAAATAAAAATGTAGATATGAAAAGTCTTAAAAGAAACAAGGGCCAACCAGATTGCTCAGCGGATTAAAGCACCTACTTAGGCAGATGCAGGGACCAGGGGTTCAATCCCCAGCCTGCCGTGCCAGCCCCACCCCCGAGGCACACTGAGATGGCAAATGAGAGTGAGATTACAGGTTGTAATCCCAGCACTTGGGAGGCTGAAAACAGGAGGATCACTATGAGTCCAATCTATGTAGTGAGATTCTGTAGACCCTGCACTAAATATATTTTAAAAAAAGAAAGAAAGAAACCAAGAAGGTCAAGCTTTATTAGTCATAGATATAAACTTTGTGTAAATAAATACAATAATAGATTTTGGCTATGGATTAGCGAAAATACACAGCTGCCAGGTCTCGATGACATGGTTGGGGAGAGAGCCATGAGTAGTCCACTAAAATGTGGACAGACTCCAAATAAGGACACTACCCATGTGACTTCATTTTTTCCTCCACCTAAGGACATTACAGTAAAGAACGGCTGCAGTGTTTTTCAAGTCTAAAAACAAAATGTGAATGTTTTATCCCTAGACTTCTACTTAGATTAAATTTTTACCAAGGCGCCAGGGAGATGGCTCAGCGGAATAAGTGCTTCACTGGCAAGCACAAGGGCCAGAGTTCAATCCCCGGTTCTGCAAAAATAAATAAATAAATAAAAATAACAATAAAAAAATAAAAAAATTCACCAAGTATGTAATTCAATATGAACAACCTCCAGGATGTATTATATCTATGCATTGGACTGGACATTAGGAAGAACATAAAGGGGCCGGGGAGATAGCTCAGTAGAATAAGCACTTGCCTGGCAAGCTCAAGGGCCTGAGTTCAATCCCTGGTTCCACCAAAAAAAAAAAAAAAAAGGAAGAACATAAAGATAAGTAAAATGCATGCCTGTCGGGAAGAAACTTGTGACATGGTATGGGAAATAAAGCTGTATTAATAATTACAGTAAAGGAGAAAATGTGCCAACTCTCGAGGGGAGGAGCCGTATCTTAAACTTCTGTGCATTTCTAGTCCATATTACCGTACTTCACACAGATTAGGAAAGAATAAGTGTTTGTTGAATTGCTAGAGAGAAGTTGCTATGACAGATGCCTTGGAACTGCACTGCCCTGTAAGTTATTTAATTATAAAAATTAATCAGATCAAAATTAAAATTTCTCTGTCTTAGTCTTTAGCCACATTCAAGAGTTCAATGGCCATGTACAGCTAACATCTACCTATTGAACATTGCAGATGATAAAATATCAAAGTTCTGTGAACAGAACTTCCATAGAAGATCAGAAAGCAAAAGAAACCAGAGTTCCTTAGTAAGGATAACAAGAAAGGCAGAAAGCAGTGGAATCCGAGTGGAAGAATAGGTCGTGTTCTTACAAGAGAAAATGAAAGGCACATCCTAGAGAAAGGATGGAGGGCAGAGAAGACAGGCTAAGTATTCTAGTCATGCCATGTGGTGCAAGCTTTTAGAAAACCGAGCAGAGAAAGTGTTGGGCGCCGGCGCCCTACATGCTTGCCCTCCCCCACGGGGGATTTCCAGAGCTATGTTTAACCTCTGCTGGCGCATTCTATTTGGCTAAGAGCTGTTACAACCAGGCACTTGCCCATTGGCCGGTTTAAGACATGCAGCCTTATTTGATTGGTCCTGGGGAGTATAAAAGAGGATGTTACGGAAGGTCCGGGGTAGTTCGGCGGAGAAGTTCGGAGAAGTAGTTCGGCGAAGTAGTTCGGTTGAGTAGTAGTTCCGGGGAGAAGTTTGGGGGAGAGAAGAATAAAGAGAAGCTTAAGCACCATCTGACTCGCGTGTGATTTCAACAAGCGCCCGACAAGAAAGAAGTGGTGGGCTGAGTGTGTTAGCGCATCTTTATTCTCTTTCTCCGCATCCTTCTTTTGCTCCATAGTCAGGCCTGTTTTAAGAGTGAAGATGCTTCCACTGACCCCCAGACCAACACTCTGGTGTTCCACATCCACGCTTTTCTTCCTATCCAATCTTCAGGAGATACTTCAGTTCTCCCACCTAAACATCTACTTTATTTTTTATTTTTCTTGTTGTTGGTTTTGGTTGAACCAGGGATTGAACTCAGGCCCTTGTGCTTGCCAAGCAAGCGCTTATTCTACTGAGCCATATCCCTGGCCCCTAACATCTACTTTAAATCCAATCACTAAGTGTGTTTGGTTTATCTGAACACTGGCTCTCTCTTATATCATTTTCCAGTCCTTTCCTATAGTCTTTCCTCTTGACAATCTCTACATCTTTACTCCACACCCCAGAACTCACATTCCATAAAGGACTGGTTCCCATGCCCTAAACAGGCAGATCTTCCTGGTGCCAAATGTTTGTGCAGACACCTGAGTGTATCTGCACCTATATACTGAAATACCTGTATATTTCATTTCGCTTACTTTATGTCAACTCACCCTCAACCTCAGGCACTGTGCTTCCTCTATGAACATCTACAGCTGGATTAATTCTCCCAGATGATGATGTCTTGCTGATAACCTTGCCCTGCTAAAATAAATGCCATGCCCAAGTTCAGAATCTATGACAGGCCATCAGTGAGTAGCCGTAAATGTTAAAGTGTCTGTACCTAATTTAATAACCCCCAAGTTTTTTTGTTCTGTTTTGTTTTTGTTTTTAGTACAGGGTCTTACTACACATATTGGACTCATAGTGATCCTCCTGATTTCAGCCTCCCAAGCACTGGGATTACAGGCATGAGCCACCACATCCAGTCTCAATCTCTGGCTCAGCGTGCCCCAGGGGTGGGGCTGGTACAACATGTAGGGATCAAACCCTGATCCTTGCATCTTTTGTCAAAGATATGTATTCCATTGCCATTCATATATTGTAGGTGCACACAGGTACTTTAGTCTGCTGAGCTATCTGGCTGACCCTTTCCCTAAAAGTTTTTAATCAAGCAAGCCCATACAATTAGGATTTTGATTAAAATGATGCCATGTGTGGGGTGGGTAGTTAACCCCAACTTCTTGAGCTCTTCTGCATGAATTCTATTTCTATTTTCAAAATTATGTTGGTTGTCCCCACATTTACATAATGCTCTGTTCCAGAGTCTAAACATGGATGATATATTCCTAACAAGATCTATCCAGTACTGGTCAGTTTAGACGATGCAGTAGCACATCACCTTTACCCGAGTCTCAATGTTCTTTGTGTGTGTGTGTGTGTGTGTGTGTGTGTGGCCAGCTCAGCCCACCAGGGGGCGGGGCTGGCTGGCATGTGGTGCTGGGGGATTGAACCGTGGTCCCTGTGTTTTGCTTAGTTTAGCTTGTTCTAAGTAGGTGCTTTAGACCACTGAGCCATCTCACCAGCCCCAAGTCTCAATGTTCTTAGACATTTGACATAATATTTCTATAGCTACTCTGCCTTCTAATTAGGCTGACTGGACATCACCCTAATTTGTTTTAGACTGTCCTTGCTTTCCCATGACCTGGGAACTTCCTCTGTCCCATGCACATTAGAACAGCTAATCACCCTGGTCCAGGCAAACCGAGATGTCTGGTCGTCATGTATACGGATCACCTAGAATCTAATACACATCCAAGACTGTCTTGAGTGGTCGGGAGAACGTGCCCTTCACATGAGTCTGCTGGGCAGAAGCAGGATGCAGCAATGGTCGTGGGCAGGGCTCTCCTGTTGGCCTCGCCAGTGCCCCACCATTCCCCACCTAGGAGACTTCACTCCTTCACATGGGACCAAAATGGAGTGTCTGTAACTTACCAAGTGAGAAGTGGGTTGTGCCCCAATTCACAAACTCACATGTTTTAAAATATCAGTTTTACACTCAAAAGTATTTCTTAATTATATTTTTCTTGCAGGGAAACAGACACCATAAAGCTCCTTGAAATTCTTTTTCCCACTTACATCTCACAAGCCCAGACCTTTCCCTTTAACACCCTACTTTTCTGACTCTGCCAAGCAGCCCATCTGATCTCTTCATGGGGCAATGGCTTCTCTCTTCCTCCATCCCCCGACCCTGTGTACTGTCAATTATCTTAAAGATCTTCAAGTGACTGCATTAAATTTAATCAGCATTTTAAAATACAGGACAGAACGTCAGATGATTTTTATTTCTCTTGTACTTTACACTTAAATGTGCTAACCAGGTGAAATACATTTTAAAGATTTAAAATAAAACACCTACTTTCCAGAAGAGCCTTTTCAGAATGAAATTTTTCTGGGCTGCTACTTTAAGTTCGGTAACTAAACCAAGTATCTTCCTCAAAGTATTATCTTTAAGAAAAAGTTCAGATTTGAGTTGACTGAAGTGCTTTATTTTCTCCTCAGATCTAGAGAAACAACAGGAAAATTGTTCACGTAAAAAATAAGAAACAGCAGTTTGGGAATATCAGTGATTAATAGGCTTCTAATACTTTATTAGCAATTAAATTTTAACATAGTTTTGTACTCTCCGCATTAGTACTGATCAGTAATGTAGCTTGTTCCCCCCATACTGAACTGTTTGTTGCCTTCCAAACTTACTTTGATTGACTGGCTGATTTTTGTGGTACCAGGGATTGAACTCAAGACCTTGTGTTTGCCAGGCAGGCGCTTAGGCTGCTGAGCTATATCCCTGGTCTCCAAGCCAACTTTGGAGCCATGTCATTTACTCAGTCTGTACCCATATGAGGGATGCCCTCATGGTCCTTACTAAACTTCTGAGCCTCCTTGGAGCCTTGCTTGTATCAATTACCAGAATCCACAAACCATAGACAGTATTATTTGCTTGAATTATTTCTTTCAATCAACTCAGTTGGCTTGTGAATAAAGAAACTCATTTATAAAGAAAACTTTGTGTTACTACATGATAGGGAAAAGCAGTATCACTTGGTATAAATAGCAGAGAACTGTTAAAACTAAAACCTGCTTGAAAGCTACAAAGATCCTAAGTGAGATCAGAGTCTGAGGCTTGCTCTGTTTTTGCACAAAAGGTGGATGAACCCGTATCAGAGAGAGCTGTCCCTGTGGTCACTACAGGAAGCCAAAAGGTGCTCCCTGGCGAAGGCTGACCAGCTGGCCAAAGGGATTACTTTTCTACCTTGAACTGAGAGTTATTTCAGGCTGTGTCAGATACAACTGGCAACCACTGGCCCTCACTGAACAGCATGCACCCCACACTTCAGGAAAAGCAAGCTAAGCTGAAAAGATAACACCTCTCCTGCTTCCACCTTCCCTAATGTCACCAACGACCGACCGTAGCCTCTCTCGCACTGCAGGCTGCTAACACTTCTAACCCCACACTAATCCTGTTTCATCCCACTGTAGTTATTTGTGTAAGTATCCTGGCCTCTCAGCTGATTTTCAGCAGTTTGAAAGGCTTGTAGTAAGGCTGCGTATTGCTTCTGTCTCACACCATGCTCATTAACAACTCGTGCTTACCTGGGCACTGACCATGCAGCAGGCTCTGGCTTGCACTCTGTTTAGAAACTAGTTCACTGAACTGGCTGCCGCTGATGGGTTAGAGCTAGGAGTTACCGTGGCACTTTATGCGAAATGAGAAGGATTAGGTAACCTGTCCAGAGTCGCAAAACTAAGGACTTAGAAGAGCTGGGTGCAAACTAACAGCAGGAGGGGTGTTTCATACTCTGCACAGATTGCTGGAAGCTTGGCCTTTCTTACTTGAAGTGAAAACAGTTTTAACCCTTGCACGCAGCAGCCACTTACCCCACATAAGAGGTTCTTGCCTCTAATTAATGAGCCTCTCTTTTAACCCCCAAATTAAGACTTTGTGGAGAGATCATCTCTTTTATAGTGGGAACACAGAAGAAAAACTGGTTGTCACAGGTTCAGCAACAGCAATGTAGAGGCAGAAGAACCTAATGACTAGAAGCCTGGGGGCAAGGTCAGCCTCCTAGATCGCCTCTACCCAGTTAGATCACTATTGCCACAGGCAAGTTACCTCCCTGTGCTTCAGATTCCTGATGTGCACAATAAAGACCATCACATTGGGGGCCTGGCCCTAGCTCAGGCCTTTAAGTGGCTGCTTCCACAAAGCTGTCAGCCTCAGGTTGCTGGAGTTCGAACCTCACAACTCGCCCGCTGGCCAAAAGTGCCCTGAAGGCATTCGAGGAACAAAATAAATAAATAAATAAATAAAGACCATCACAGTATCCACTGTTCTGTGATACTTCAATTAACACACATTCTTAGCATATAATCTAAATAAAAACAAGAATCAATTTGAGATCCAGCTTTACTATCAATGTACTTCTATTTATTTATTTATTTATTCATTCATTCATTCATTTTTTTTGTATTTTAGGGAAGGGTCTACAAGGATGCTCCAGAGTCTCACTACTAGATCGGACTCATAATGATCCTCCTGTTTACAGCCTCCCAAGAACTGGGACTACAGGCGAGCACCATCATATCCAGTCTCAATTGCCATCTCAGTGCGCCCCCGGGGTGGGGCCACCACAGCAGGCCCGGGAATGCCTGGGCCCTGCGCCTGCTTGCAGGCACTTTAATCCTATCAGTGTACTTCTAATCACCACCTTATTCCACTTTTTTAAAAAATTATTAATCCCTCTACCCTCTGAGAACACTCAAAGCAACATAAATAAATGAGCTCAGGTAGAAATACACCAGCAGCATAATTTTGAAATTGATTTTCTTACTTTTCCCCATTGAGAGTTGTCAACTTGCTAAGATGCATAAGTTAATCTTTTGTCATTTATGATATAGATGTTATCTAAATTTTCTTTTTTTTTAAACTTTTTTTTAATTTATTGTGTTTGGGGGGCAGCTCAGCCCACCAGGGGGCGCGGCTGGCTGGCATGTGGTGCTGGGGGATCGAACCGCGGTCCCTGTGCTTTGCCAAGCTTGTTCCAAGTAGGTGCTTTAGACCACCGAGCCATCTCTCCAGCCCTAAATTTTCTTTAAAGACCAAAATAATTTCTGTGTGAAAATGGGGAAAAAAAGAAAATGGGACACTAATGTCTTCATATTAAAATTTAATTCATGTATAAACTCAGGTCTCATGTATATCATAAATTCAAATTAGAAGTATAGCAAGATTATAGTCTGTTTGAACAAAGGGTATATTGCTTTTAGACAAACAGCAAAATATTTTTTCAGTTCTAGGAACTGAACCCAGGACCTTTGCACTGAATTACAACTCCAGCTCTTTTTTATTTTTTTCTTTTGAGACAGGGTCTTGCTAAGTCTCTGTGGTGATCAAGCTGTGCTCAATCTGGTGATTCTTTAACTTCAGCCTCCCGAGTACTAGGATCACAAGTATGCCCCGTATATTTTAATTATAGAAATTTTCTGAATATAATTATGTAAGAAATTTCCATGTACTCATAACCTAGTTACAATAATTTTCAACATTGAACCAATTTTGTTTCATCTGTTCCCTTATGCGTGCGCGTGCGCACACACACACACACACACACACACACACACTATTTTGAAATTAAGATAAATGTGATGTGAAACTTACTGTTGTATTCATTTTATAAGTACAGTTCAATGGTATTAAGTGTATTTCTAGTGTTGGAAAACTATCATCGCTATCCATTTCCTGAAGTTTTTCAGCTTCCCACACAGAAATTAGGTGCCTGTCAAACAACAACTCTCTCTTACTGGTTACTTCTGGCCCTAAGTAACCTCTCATTTCTGTCTATAAATTTCCTTTTTCTGGGAGCCTCACATAAGTGGAATCATAAGATATTTGGTCTTTTGTGTCTACATTATTTCGCTTGACATAATAATGTCTTTGAAGTTCATCCATGGTGAAGCATGTGTCAGAATTACTTTCCTTTTACTGCTAGTATATCCAGACTGTGAAGTCAGATTCAGGTTTAACATGTGTAATGCAAGTCATTCAGAGGTGGTGCTGAGTAGCTTAGGTAACATCAAACAAGTCTGATTGTCTCACTTAATTGATGCTAAGAGTAATGGGTAGATTCAGTTTTTGCAATATGATCCTTGCATTTCAAAGTTCTGCTTCACTCCCCCACCATCAGGGATCTAACTCGGGACCTTGAGCTTACCAGGCAGGCTGCTAAGCCAACTGAGCTGTCTCCCCCGCCCTGCCTCGCCTTTCTAGCTAATGATTTCATTGACTGGGATTCTTGCATGAATCTGTTATTTCACTAAAGATTGAAAAAGTGTTAATTTCCTAGTTCTGTTAAACCTTTTACATGCATTAGATGGAATTCAGTAAAAGGGAATTTTCTTTTATCAACTAAGGCTAATTGCTTATCCTGAACTCATTACAGTTAATGCAAGAAAGACAGGATAATCCTTCCCATTTGTTTCCTGATTTCCAGAATAAGAGATTGGTGCCCTATTTTCTTCTAATATTCAATGTGTTTTATTTCTTTGGTAAAAGACCAGAGTAAACGCTTACTTCTAAATTTTATATTTCACTATGTTTCAATCACCCCATTCCTTTTTTTTTTTTTTTAATGTATTTGGTAGAGGGTCTCACTATGGAGCTTGCACTCCTAGTGACCCTCCTGTTTTCAGCCTCCCCGGCATTGGGATTACAGGCGTGCACCCCACACCCGGACTCTTACACAGATGACAGCACAGCATGCTCCAGGGCGGGTCTGGTACAGCATGTGGTGCCAGGGATGGAGCCCTCATCCCTGAGCTTGCCTAAGCAGGTGCTTAGTCCGCTGAGCTATCTCATTGGCCCCATTCCTTATTTGTTCTAATGCTCAAGCTGTCCCATGTTTGGCTATTGGGAGCCCCTTCATGGGGGTACCTAAACTCCTTCGTTATGGCCCCATTCTCTTTGCTTTTTATTGTCAGCTGTTTCAGACTCATTTTGTATGTTCCTGTCCCAGACTTAGTAACATCCATTCTAATGACCTTTGGTTCCTTGGGGGGGGGGTGAATATACCCAACCTCTATCTTATATCATTTATTTATTCATTCTGTAAGGGATTATTGCAGCCTACTATGTGACGAAGGCATAGACTTTGCCTTAAGAAGCATACCACATGATAGGGCAGCACATGACCAAATAAGCAATCAAAACACACACTGGCAAGTGCTACAGGATGTGTAAGCAACAGATGCTATGAAGGGGTCCCTCCTAACTTAGTTTTGAGGGATTTACAAAGGAGTTTTAGAAAAAACTAAGGGCCGGCGAGATAGTTCAGTGGCTTATGTGCCTGCCTGGCAAGCGCAAGGTCCCGAGTTCAATCACCAATTAATGAACAAAACAAAAACTAAAGTTTAATGGACTGAAGTCATTTAGAAAGAGAGTGAGGTTCATGAAAATGGGCCATCATATTAGGGCCCAGAAAGAAAAGAAAAAGAAAATTGAGAAAACGGTGAGAAATCCATTTAGAGTAGGTAGGCACACAGTGCAGGAGTGGGTGGGGGAAGCACAAGAAGAGAGGATGGAAAAATAAAAATAGACACCAAGAGCATCTGTGTACTCTATTAGACATTTACAGTTTTATCCAAGGTCAATGGGGAGCCATTCAGAGGCTTTCAGGGAATCGGATTTGTACTTTGGGAAGGTTTCCGTTGTAATGAGTAATGGGCCTGAGGAGCCAGAAGGAAGGCTTAGTGGCCAGGAGAGTACTGTAAGAGAGTAGAACTAAGATGATTAATTGGACTTGAGCAAGGACCGTGGGAAGTGGGTATTATCTAGACATAGTAACAAGGTGTTAAAAACATCCTGTGCTGATTGGCTGGAAATGGGGGATGGGGAAGCGGGCGAGAAGGTCAGGGCAACACCCAGGACTCTAGCTTAGGGTACCTGAAGATAGCGACATCATCTATAAATTTCCTTTTTCTGGGAGCCTCACATAAGTGGAATCATAAGATATTTGGTCTTTTGTGTCTACATTATTTCGCTTGACATAATAATGTCTTTGAAGTTCATCCATGGTGAAGCATGTGTCAGAATTACTTTCCTTTTACTGCTAGTATATCCAGACTGTGAAGTCAGATTCAGGTTTAACATGTGTAATGCAAGTCATTCAGAGGTGGTGCTGAGTAGCTTAGGTAACATCAAACAAGTCTGATTGTCTCACTTAATTGATGCTAAGAGTAATGGGTAGATTCAGTTTTTGCAATATGATCCTTGCATTTCAAAGTTCTGCTTCACTCCCCCACCATCAGGGATCTAACTCGGGACCTTGAGCTTACCAGGCAGGCGCTAATGTCACTCACCTATCTCCCCGGCCCCCATTTGATTATTTGAACTTTAAGGTTCCTGTGAAATGTGTAAGAGGTGCCGTTCAGTGAACGTTTACAGACCTAAGACTGGACTGAGAGCTAGGTGGAGGGCCGGATGTGACGTCAGCCACACATACAACATAGAATTAAGGGTGCAAAGAGGAGGGCCAACCCCCCAGTGCAACTCTATCACACCCTCACTCCTTACCTATATGGCTTCTGACTTCTGATAACAGGCCTGAGCTCGGCAGCACGAAGGGGATCTTGCAAAAGAGTAGCTTTCTGAAAGAATAAAAAAGTAGGAATTGTTAGAATTTCTGTTTACGGAAATGAGTCAACCCCATTTCTAGCCGTTCGTGTTTGTGTGTGTATTTTTAATCCCATCTATGGTGCCTTATTTGCTTATATGACTAATTTCAGCATTTGATAACACCACAGGGAAGTTTTTGGTATCTAACTTTCAAAAAGTTTTAACCTCTTATTTTAAAATAATTTATTAAATTCTAACAGTAGGGCTGGAGAGATGGCTCAGTGGTCTAAAGCACCTACTTGAAACAAGCTTGGCAAAGCACAGGGACCGCGGTTCGATCCCCAGCTCCACATGCCAGCCAGACCCGCCCCCTGGTGGGCTGAGCTGGCCACACACACACACAATAAATAAATGTAATAAATAAAAATAAATAAATATTAAAAAAACAACAAAAAAATAAATTCTAACAGTACATAATTGTACAAAGTGGGAGATAAAATTTTGTTTCTCTTGACGCTTACCACTATTCAAATATACACTTACCCTACTTATGTTGTTTTTTGTTTTTTGGTTTTTTTTTTTTTTTTTTTTTTTTCTTTTTTTCAGCCGGGGATTGAACTCAGATCCTTGCGTTTGCCAGTCAAGTGCTTATCCTACTGAGCCATCTCCCCGGCCCTTACGTTGTTTTTGGTTTGTTTGTTTCATTTTATGTATTTGGTATAGGGTGGCACTATGCAGCTCCGGCTTGTAGTGATCCTACTGGTTTCAGCCTCCCTAGCTCAGGGATTATAGGCACGCGCCACCACACTCAGACTTGGTCACCCGCTCAGCACACCCCGGGACAGGGGCTGGCGCAGCATGCAGGACTGGAAATCGAACACTGGTCCCTGCGCTTGCCAAAACAGGTGCTTAGTCCGCTGAACTATCTCGCTGGCCCTTTAGGCATATTTTGTAATAGATATAATCCTAGTTAAATTATATCACATATTAATCTGGAACTTCATTTTTTTACTTAACATGCAGTGAACAGTTTTGTATATCTATATACATGGATTTAGTGCAGTCTTTTTAGTGATTACCTAATATTTCATGCCATAGCTATATTATACTTTTGTTTATTACTCCCTAATAGGGTTGATTTTTCCTTAAATCTTGAGTGTTGACTTTTCTATTATTTCAGTCCTCCAATCAGACAAGTAGCATGCAGGAAGTTCTCCAAGTAACCTTTTGTTTATGTTGAGGTCTATCTGGTCAGAAGGGGTTTCTGAAATGTTGCTGATTTATAACTCAAAACAAATTTACCCCTGTCTTATTCTTAATATCAAAGCAGATAAGTGGGCAGTTGGTAGTGAGGGGATTATGTGCTTGTTTCTTACTGGTTTTATCATGGTTCTATATTTTTTAAACTGTCCTTTTCCCCCTTTTGCAAATTACTATATTTGCCTTAAATCTGTAAGTTTAATTTTGAATATGCCTTAATAACTTAGCTTTCTAGCAGCCGTCTTCAGAACATATAAAGGATAAGGAATAACCATACTTCATCCTTGTACAATTTGAGATGCTAAACAGCACAGATATGATTATTGTTGGTAAAGCTTACTGATAAAATGTATTACTGAAAGAAATTCAACTCTTTGAAAAGCCCGTGTCGCCCTAGCTAAGTGCAAAGTGCCACCTGGCAAGCCTTCCCTTCCCTGCCTCTACAAAAGTCCAGCTGCTTTATTTCTGCAAAACACTCCTCCCTAACAAGCATTTCTCCTTATTACGGTAGCCTGAATCAAGTCACCCCTTCTATGCATCTTTCTTTTAAGAATTCTGATTTATTTATTTATTTATTTATTTATTGCGGTACTGGGGATTGAACTCAGGGCCTTGGGCTTGCCAGGCAAGCGCTTATTCTAGGAGCTATCTCCCCAGTCCCCTCCCTCCGCTTCTTTAAGAATTTTGTTTTATTTTTTTTTTTATTTCCGTGCATCTTTCTTTCACAATATTATTAAATCATAAGATAAAATTGCCAAAATGGAGGAGAGGCACACAAGCCATGTTTGCCTTTAAAAGAAAAACAAAATCAGGGCCAGCCAAATAGCTCAGTGGATTAAAGCCCCTGCAAGCAGTCACAGGGGCTGGGGATTCGATTCCCCCAGCCTGCCTGTGCCGGCCCTGTCCCCAGGGCAGGCTGAGACAGCAATTGAGACTGGGTGTGGTGGCGTGTGCCTGTAATCCCAGCTCTTGGGAGACTGTAAACAGGTGGATCACTAGGAGTCCGATCTAGTAGTGAGACCCTGAACACCCTGTAGATCCTTCCCTAAATAAAAAGTAACAAACAAACAAAAACAAATATACCTCAGGCTAAGGTGAGGATACTTACTATAACATAATTGTTCCATGAACTTTTTAAGTGCAGAAATAGCGATGAGGTTGTGGAAACTACATACAAGTGAAGTTCTGACTCATTTTTCTGTAGGCTTAAATCACTCTCCAAAGGGGAAACTGGGCAAGAATTTCCTAAATGAAACTCATTTCTGTTCCCATCACACTTGAAAGAGATTTCACAGGGGGAGTCTTTGTGATCTGGAAGTCCTTGGGGTTCTTTTGTGTTTGATGGGCCAGCTGGTGAGCTGACAGCCCTGCTGGCAGCTGGTGTGGGCAGACAGCTCCTTCCTGGGGGCGCAGGTAAGGGTCGGGAGGCACCTTGGCCCTCAAGGCACAGATCCTTGATGTCTGGAGGAGGACTGGGAGTTGAGCCCCCAAAGACACCGTCCCTCTCCTGGGTGCACCTGTAAGGTAGAATTTAGTGTTAAACATGGTGATCAGAATTTTACAGTAAGGAACAAAGAGAACCCAGTCTAAGGCTCTGAATGCTCCTGTTCTCAGGAAATGGAATGCTTGTTAAGAGGCCAGGCCAGTAATCCCGGCACTCTGGGAGCTTGAGGCAGGAGGAGCAAGTTGGAGCCCAGCCTGGAGACTTAGCGACTTAGTGAGTTCTTGTCACAAAATAAAACATGAGGGGCTGGGGAGATGGCTCAGTGGAATAAGTGCTTCCCTGGCAAGTGCAAGGGCCTGAGTTCAATCCCCGGTT